CTATTTTTTCTTGTTTGATAGTAAGTGTGGCACATTTGTCCAAGCCAAACTCCATTGCAATATCTTGGCTATATATACAGACAGTGTTGAGCAGCGGTTCTTTTTCAGATGATGTTTTTCCATACAGCTTCAGATCATCCATGTAAAGGAGGTGGGATAGTCTGGCAGATGTTTTTGATGTTTGATAGCCATGTCCTGAGTTATTCAGTATTGTTGACAGAGGAAACAGTGTAATAACAAATAGTAATGGTGATAATGAATCTCCTTGAAATATTCCTCTCTTGAGGAATATTATTATTATTATTATTATTATTATTATTATTATTATTATTATTATTATTAGATGTGAACCTCAGTCAATTGAACATTCAAATTGACTGGGGCTGATGGTTGACACGGGTTGCTGCCAGCATCCTAGGTATCAACCAGGTACCTCCTTAAAATGTAAGATGATGATAATGATGATGATTAAAAAGGAAATCTTCCAAGGAGACTGACTATCACAACTATTGTTATCAGTGCATTGATTCCTCTGTCAACATTACTGAACAAGTCTTGCTCATGGTTATCAAACATCAAAAACATCTGCCAGGCTAATCCAACCTCCTTTACATGGATGTTCTAAAGCTGTATGGGAAAATACCCTCACCATCTGCATGGAAAAAATAGTGAAAACTGAAGACACTTTATGGAAATGACATGAAAAGTCTGGTTGAGGAAGAGCACTACAAATGCCTAGGCATCCTTCAACATCCTGACAACATCAAGCACACTAAGGTCAAGAAGAAGATTAGAAGTTGAATACATCACGAGAGACTGAAGAAGATCTTACAGTCCAAAGTCAGTGGAGGAAATATTATCAAGGCAATTTACACCTGGACAATCCCAGTCATTAGATACACAAATGGAACAGTGGACCGGATATAAACAGAGCTAAAAGCCCAGAGTAGGAAGACCAGAAAAATAATGACAATGAATCATGCCTGTCATTTAACTTAGCAATGTTGACAGATTCTACTTACCAAGGAAAATAGGTGGGCGTGGAATATTGCAAGTATACCAGACAGTTGAAAAAGAAAAAAGGGCATGGGAAGAATATCTGAAGGACAGTGAAGAAGAAGCACCCAGACTAGTAAAGCATGAAAGCTTACTGAATACCAGAGAGACCAAACTAGTGTACAAGAAAGACCAAATGAAGAACAGAAAGAAGATGTGGCAAGGCAAAGTATTGGATGGCCTGTAGATACGAAAAAACTAGCAGGCAAAGCAGATAGCAAGTCCTGGCAATGGCTAAAATAGGAAAGTTAAAGAAAGAGGCAGAGAGGCTAATTGTGGTTGCACTAGACTAAGCCTCGAGAATGAATGTGTTCATGGCTGAAATGCTGCCTCCGGTTTTGGTCACATTACAAAAAATATGTTGAGACTTTGGGAAAACTGCAGAGAAGAGCAACTAAGATGATTAAAGACCTGGGGACTAAAACATATGAAGAACAGTTGCAGGAACTGGGTATGGCTACTCAAGAGAAAAGAAGGACTAGGGGCGACATGGTAGCATTATTCCAGTATTCTGCCACAAAGAAGAGGGGGTCAACTTATTTTCCAAAGCACCAGAGGGCAGGACAAGAAACAATGGATAGAAACTAATCAAGGAGAGAAGCAATCTGGAATTAAGGAGAAACTTCCTAATAGTGACAATAATTAACCAGTGGAGCAAATTGCCTTCAGAAGTTGTGAGTGCTTCATCACTAGAGGTTTTTAAGAAGAGACTGGACAGCCACTTGAACTGAAATGGTATAGGGCCTCCTGCTTGAGCAGGGGGTTGGACTAGAAGATCTCCAAGGTCCCTTTCAGTTCTATTCTGAATGGCTGGAATTGAGTGGATAATAACGGACAGCAAAAGCCACCTCTCCTAAAAAACTGGGGGGGGGGAACAGACTTAACAATTGTTGATTAAAAAAAGACAAAAAAAGTCTGGATAGTAGACATAGCAATATCTGGAGACAGCAGAAAAGAAGAGAAAGTACTGAAGAAAATCACAAAAAGACCAAATAGTAGTAGAATAGCTGTGGCAAAAAGCAAAGATAGTACTAAATGTAAAAAGCACCTTGGGTGCAATTCCAAAACATCTGGAGCAGCACTTGAACATTGACACTAGTCAATTGCAAAATTGGGGCTTTACTTGGATCAGCTTAACAGCAATATCTTTGCAGCAATATCTTTAATATTGTTAAACAATAACATCTACAACAACATCTGCCTATCCAAGGTCCTTGAGAAGTACAGTACTCAATAGATAGACAAAAATGCCAAATCGAATCTAAACATCTGGCTGATTGTGCAACCCACCATAATATATTAAACTGTTTGCTGCCTGACTCAAAAACTCTTGCGTTATGCCATTTGCCATTTTTGTTTTGGAAACCCTGGCTACTAGAGCCGTGATGGCGCAGTGGTTAGAATGCAGTATTGCAGGAAACTCTGTCCACTGCCAGGAGTTCAATCCTGACCAGCTCAAGGTTGATTCAGCCTTCCATCCTTTAGAAGTGGGTAACATGAAGACCCAGATTGTTGGGGGCAAATATGCTGACTCTGAAAACTGCTTAGGGAGGGCTGTAAAGCACTGTGAAGTGGTAAATAAGTCTAACTGCTACTACTGTTATTGGTATCTGGCACCTTCAGTTTTATAACTTTGCCAATTATTCATGAAACATCATTTTGCCCATGTTTCTGCTCATGATATCCTTTTTTTATTACTGGATCTCATTTTATATAATATTAGATTTAACTTTCTGGTACTCTGAACTTCATTCTATTTATTTAATACCCTACCTATCATACTACAGTGCTTCAGGTAATGTAGGAAATTATCTTCATTTTAATGCAGCAAACATAGAGTGTAAAAGCACCCAAATACAATAATAAAGAAGACATAAAATAATTAACATAAATAAGTAAGCCTGGCCACAGTGATCAGCCATATGCCTCTAGGGCAGGGGTCTTCAACGTGGCCCTTTCATGACTTGTGGACTTCAACTCCCAGAATTCCTCAGCCAGGCATGCTGGCTGAGGAATTCTGGGAGTTGAAGTCCACAAGTCATAAAAGGGCCAAGTTGGAAGACCACTGCTCTAGGGTATTCACAAGGAAGAAGAGAAGACAGACACCCATTCTGTTCTTGTTTCATGGCTACTGGTATTTGGAGCAGGCTGTCCCCAACCTTGAACTGAATCCTTGAGAGACCAATCCTTCATAGACTGAACAGAATAACAGATGGAAGAGATCTTGGAAGTCTTCTAGTCCAACCCCCTACTCAAAGCAGGAGAGCTTATATCATCCTGGTCAAATGACTGTCCAGCCTCTTCTTGGATACCTCCAGTGTTGGAATACTCACAGCTTCTGAAGGTAACGCATTCCACTGGTTAATTGTTCTCACTGTCAGAAAATTTGTTCTCTCCTTGTTTAGTTTCCATCCATTGCTTCTTGTCCTGCCTTCAGGTGCTTTAGAGAGAATAGGTTGACCCCCTTTTCTTTGTGGCAGCCCCTCAAATATTAGAAGATGCCACCATGTCATCCCTAGCTCCTCTCCTTGTCAGATTAGTCACAATTTCTCCATTCCCTTCTCTTCTTAAGCCCATCCAAGTCAGAAACCCTCCCTTGTTTTGTAGCAATAAATTCGACAAGTTAATGATCCATTAAGTAGGTCACTTGCCGTATCATGAGCTTTCAAGGTCTGAGGTGAGTTCAACCCTTTTTTTAGCATTATGGCACAGTCTCTGCATGAGTTATCTCTACACGAAATACAGCACAGACATTTAATTAACAACAAAAATAAAAAAGATGACTAGAACCTTCCTGGCTCACAAGAAATTATCAAAATATAAGATTGAGGCAATTTCTAACAGCGTGTGCTGCTTTCCTGTTTAACCTTTCTTGTTTAACCTTTCAAAAACACCAGATGGATGGAGGCTGACTGGGCCTCTGTTAGATTCCCCGTTTTGCCTGCAGAAAATCCCAGGTAGGTTCAGCTGAGAGCAGAACAAGAAAACCCTAACAAAGAGCAGACAGCCGAATTTCTTTGCCTGTTTACCTTGGAGGGCATGAGGTTGATGAACAAGAAGGAAAGGAAGGGCCGCTTTCTACCATTTGGCACCCATCACACAGATTTTATCTTCCTGGGCTCCAAGATCACCTCAGATGGGGACTGTAGCCAAGAAATTAAAAGACGCTTGCTCCTGGGGAGGAAAGCTATGGCAAATCTAGACAGCACACTCAAAAGCAGAGACATCACCCTGCCAACAAAAGTGTGTGTAGTCAAGGCCATGGTTTTCCCAGTTGCAATGTATGGCTGTGAGTTGGACCATAAGAAAGGCTGAGTGCCAAAGAATTGAGGCCTTTGAACTCTGGTGCTGGAGAAGACTCCTGTGAGTTCCCTGGACCACAAGGGGATCAAACCAGTCAGTCCTAGAGGAGATCAACCCTGACTGCTCTTTAGAAGGCCAGATTCTGAAGTTGAAACTCTAATACTTTGGCCACCTAATGAGAAGGAAGGACTCACTGGAGAAGGGCCTAATGCTGGGAAAGATTGAGGGCAATAGAAGAAGGGGACGACAGAGAATGAGGTGGCTGGATGGAGTCATTGAAGCAGTAGGCATGAGCTTAAATGGACTCCAGAAGATGGTAGAGGACAGGAAGGCCTGGAGGAACATTGTCCATGGGGTCGCGATGGGTCGGACATGACTTCGCAACTAATAACAATAACAACAATAACACACCATCACACAAGACTCAGAAGACCCATTTGGGTCTTTTTTAAAACCAAGGTTAGACATTTTAAATATAAATACATTATTTTGAGCAGAGCTTGGACAGGTATTAGAAAAACAGTAGCGTGTTGGCTTAGACCAGAATGTACCATCTTTGGGGTATGCACCTGACAAGAAACTTGAGCTCCCAGAAAAAGAGGCCCAAGGGCAAAAGTATAGAAAGAAAAGGAAGGAATCTTACCTTCTGTGATGTTCAGATGGACTGCTCCATGGCCAGGTTGTGATATCACCAGAAAACTCAGCACAAAGAGAAGTGGCATCTGCGAATAAGAGGAAAGGTAATGTCCATATAAAGATTACACTGCAGGATGTAACAAAACAGAGTTGGTAAAGGACCTTATAATCCAAGCCCCTTGCTCAAGCAGGAGACCCTATGCCATTTCAGACAAATGGATGTCCAATCTCTTCTTAAAAACCTCCAGTGATCACTCCAAGATAAATCATGTATTCTTCCATTCAATTACTGTGTCTACTCAACACTGGTGTGAGGGGCTGTCTGCTAAAACAAAGCAAGGCTATGGCATACACTTGAAAGAAAACCGGGAAGCCTGTATTTGTGTCTGGCAAGAACAAAGAGTGTTTATTCACAGAGAATATACATGTGTAAACCCTTGTGTCTATTCTAGGTGGTTCGAGAACTGATAAACAGTAACAAAGAGTTAGACATCCTGCATATCTCAGCGAGAAGTTAGGAATACGGATGGCCTGGAGCAAATAGGATGTGTATTAGAATATTAGATAACTCCTGGAGAATTCATTAGCCAAGGCTTAGGAACAGGGACGGCTAGAGACCAATATAACAAATGGTTAGATCATTACTAAAATAGTTATTAAATGATATTTCTTATGTATCCTGCCGTGTTCCACCTTCTGCTTTAGTGAAATTGTATAAAGCTCTCTTAATCCTTTGTTCTGGGTCCTGGCAGGTTGCTGGCTGGAACCTCTTTTGCTGAAGCATTTCAAGAAAAAGAAAACAAAATCTGCATCTCATGTCTGATGTTCTCCATTGGCTTTGACACCAGGCTTAGACCTAAATTGGGGACAACAGGTGGGTGCAAAAGATTTTGTAAACGTTGCCCTAATAAAATTAAGAGCAGCAGTCTTACACAAGTACCCCTATTTTGTCCACCATCAGAAGGAATGTGATCATAGAAACAGCAATAGTACTTAAACTATACCGCTTCACAGTGCTTTACAGCCCTCTCTAAGAGGTTTACAGTGTTAGAATATTGCCCCCAACAATCTGGGTCTTGATTTTACTGACTCGGAAGGATGGAAGGATGAGTCAATCTTCAGCCAGTGAGATTCCAACTGCCAAACTGCTGGCAAGTCGGCCGTCAACAGAATTAGTGTGCAATACTGCATTCTAACCACTGTGCCACCAGGGCTCCTACAATCATACAAACAATGACTAAACTTGTTTTCTATTTTCCTGTTTCCTTCTGACTGTTTCAGAAAGTACACAGTGAATGTTTGGCCTGCAGTAAGTTCCTTTGCATTAAATCCTTGGGAGAAATTCTGAAAATGGGCCTGGGAAAGTCTTCGCTAGGGAGAAGCATCACAAGTCAGTGTGTGCCTCTCTGAACCATCCATAAAGCATGATGTAAGACAGGCTTATTAAAAGCCAGGACAGCAACTTCGGCTGCCAAGCCCTGAAACCTTATCTTCTGGTTACATTTGTTTATTTAGATTTACTGATATCCCAACGCTAGTGGGTTTTGTTACCTCTCCCGGACTCCTGAGATTTTACCGTTTGGTTACTTTGAGGTCTATGCAGAAATTAAAACAAACGCATTTGTTTGCTTGTTTATATGCAGTATCGCTAAATCTTGCAACTCATGATGGTGGGACTGAGGCCTTTGCTACTGGCCATGCACACTAAATGTTGACAATGCTTGCATTCCTGATAGTCTTCTACTCAAATAGCCTAGTGTCTGGCACACGTATAGCTAAGTAGCTAAGTTCCTTTCAAGCAGAACCTGTAGGATTCTTGTTTAATGAATTTTTAAATGGCCTTTCAAAGCATGCTGCTCAGCCTCAACTTGCAACAGTTAATTTAGTGACTGTTCAAAGGAGAAACTTCCTGACAGTTAGAACAATTAACCAATGGAACAACCTGCCTCCAGAAGCGGTGAATGCTCCAACACTGGAAGTTTTTAAGAAGAGACTGGACAGCCATTTGTCCGAAATGGTGTAGGGTCTCCTGCCTGAGCAGGGGGTTGGACTCGATGACCTCCAAGGTCCCTTCCAACTTTATTATTATTGTTGTTGTTGTTGTTGTTGTTATTGTTATTATTATTGAGGATCATCGCAGTCGGCCAGATGTTCAGACTGGATTTGGCATTTTGTCTACCTATCGAGTCCTTACCAAGGACCTGGGATAGGCAGATGTGGATGTTTGATGGTTTTACAGATATCGTCGCATGATGGAAGCAGTTCCTAGTAAGGCCGCCTTTTGCAATTGACTAATGGCAAATTTGTCAATGCCAATGGTGTTCAAGTGGTGCTTCAGTTGTTTTGGGATTGCACCCAAGGTGCCTATTACTATTGGTACTACCCTTGCTTGCTTTTGCCACAGTCTTTCTATTTTTATTTGTAGGTCTTTGTATTTTGTTATCTTCTCCAGTTCTTTCTCGTCTATTCTGCTATCTCCAGGCACTGCCACGTCCACTATCCAGACTTTTTTGTCTTTCTTATCAACAATTGTTGTTGTAGTTGTTGTTATTATTGTTATTATTACTTATGACCATTTTTCACAGTTACAACTTTTACAGCATCCCCACAATCATGTGATCAAAATTCAGATGCTTGGCAGCTGGTTCATATTTATGAATGCTGCTGTGTCCCAAGGTCACATGATCATCGTTTGCGAACTTCTGACAAGCAAAAGCCAATGGGGATGCTAGATACACTTATCAACCAGTTACTAACTTATCAAGTGCAGTGACTCACTTAACAACTGTAGCAAAAAAGGTCATAAAATGGGGCAAAACTCACCTAATAAATGTCTGACTTAGCAACAGAAATTTTGGGCTTAAGTCGAGGATTCCCTGTATATGAAATTGGTTTTAAAACATAAATAGCTACAAACAACCAAGAAACTCAACAGATTCCAGACCCATGAATTGAAGCCAGAAGTTATTGTACCCCAAGCACATTAAGCACAGGTGGGCAGGAATAAATACCTTTTCAGAATGCTTTATAAAGCAACAGATTGAAACTACCAAATTCAACAGGGTTGTAGGAGTGTGTGGCCAGCAAAGAGATTATCTGATCTTGAATATGCACGATGTGAATAACTCTGAATGGTGGACCCAAGAGGCCAATTTTATTTCCCAGAAAGCAATATATAAGAATAAAATAATCCCTCAGATGAACATTTGTTCATTTAAGGCTCTAAAGGCAAAAATTAGCACTTTAAAATGGATTAACAAGAAGCCACGCAACCAATAAAGAACTTGGGTTTGAATGTCACACAGCAATCACAAAAGTTCTGGCCACCAGCTCCTGCTCTACCTGCAAATGTTAAATCATCTTCAAGGTAGCTCCATATGAAAGGAAGCTATATTCACCAACCCTGCATTTTACCCAATAAATGAGCTTTACTTTAACACGAAGTGGCCTAAATTGGTTATAAAACCATGTCTAGCCATTGGCACTAACTACACCTCCTCTGAGCATGCTGAATTTAAAAGGTACGTATTGCATAAATGACTTTATAGATTAAGTTCTGTCCTCTATAAATGAAGTGCTATAAAAAGTATGATTTTCTTCCTGAGCCCAAGCTTTAACCTGTTCATTGTTTCAGCCATTTCCCTAGGATAAAATGATCAAAAATAGAGCTCATGTAGAGTGTCATTTGCTACACATGTCTTGTGTAGCATCTTGTGTCAGAAATGCAGGAACTGGAAAAGGGGAAATTATTAATTTAATATTTAATTTTTTAAAAAAGCTTTGATAAAAGATAGATTTATATAGTTCTAGCCCAGTCACCAGGCCACATTAATGGCAGAGATATATCTGACTAGCAAGTCATTCTATGTGCAAGTCGGTTCTAGAGGGCCCTGTAAAAGATGGATAGTTGTTTGAACAGTGCCACATTCACAATGAATATCTCCATGCTCAGGGAGAAATCTCAATTTTCCCTTGTAATCTTTAGTTCTAACTAGGCCAGTGATTAAACATCTCCAGATCATCCACTCCTCTTCCGCACCTGCAGGCAGTTCCTCAAGTGGTTCTATCCAAATATGAAGATGTTTTATTTGAGATTTCCATCTTTTTTAATCGTTCTTTTGGGATGTAGTAACCTCCTCAGCACATTGGTGACATCTCAGTCCATAGCTTTGGATGATTTCTCTAGGTTGTTGTTAGTTGCGAAGTCATGTCCAACCTATTGAGACCCCATGGACAATGTTCCTCCAGGCCTTTCTGTCCTCTACCATCTTCTTGAGTCCATTTAAGCTCACGCCTACTGCTTCAGTGACTCCATCCAGCCACCTCATTCTCTGTCATCCCTTCTTCTATTGCCCTCAATCTTTCCCAGCATTAGGCTCTTCTCCAATGAGTCCTTCCTTCTCATTAGGGGGCCAAAGTATTTGAGTTTCAACTTCAGGATCTGGCCTTCTAAAGAGTAGTCGTGGTTGATCTCCTCTAGGACTGACCGGTTTGATCGCCTTGCAGTCCAGGGGACTTGCAGGAGTCTTCTCCAGCACCATAATTCAAAGGCCTCAATTCTTTGGTGCTCAGCCTTTCTTATGGTCCAACTTTCACAGCCATATGTAGCAACTGGGAAAACCATGACCTTGACTATACGTACTTTTGTGGGCAGGGTGATGTCTCTGCTTTTTAGTATGCTGTCTACATTTGCCATAGGTTTGCTCCCCAGGAGCAAGCGTTTTTTAATTATGCTGCAGTCCCCATCTGTGGTGATTTGGAGTTTTATATAAAAGTTTAAAAAATGAGGCCAAGAGAGAATTTTGAGTGGCCACTATAAAAGTTGGAAGTACCCACTTTCTGAGTGTGCCCACACATCAAGAATTTAAGTCACCCTGACACCAATTCTCCAAGTCCCATTCCATGGCACCAAAAATCACTGAGAGGTCTAAAGAATCTACAGACATGTATTCTCTCATTCCCCAACCTCCAAGGTAATCAGGATAGCTTTCATCCCAAAATCCTGGCTAGAAAACAGAACAGAAGGGATTTAAATAATTTGTGTCTTCCAAAAGTCTTGGGAATTGACAAGATGTCATCTGCTCTG